AGGTAGCGCCTCGTTCTCCTCTTTTCAATAAAGCGGCTTTATCGGCCAGATAAATATTATTAGCCAATGAGCACGTGCTCGCACTCGATGTGGCCGCATCGCAGGTGGTGCAACGTGAAAGGCCTCCGCGACTCGATCTCGAAAAATCCCAATTGGGGAGGGGGGGGGGGGCGGGCGAACGTCCGGTTGTGTTTTAATAAAAGGCGAGGGAGCGTTCGTTATTCTGACGTGAAAAAGAGGGGGAAAAAAGTACTTTAGAGACAATGCGCCGTAATTTCGAAAACGTCGTGCTATTTTCGCAGTCTCATTGTTTCGCGGCGCAAATGCGATTCCACGCTCGCCGCAAAATAAAAATACGACGTTACGTCTCATTATTCAGAAATTGGGGTCCGGTCTCTACGTAAGCGCGAGCCCGCGTCCGCGTTACATTTCATCGGCGAGAGAAAAAGGAAGAGAGAGAGAGAGAGAGAGAGGGAAGGGGGAGGGAGAGAGAAGAGCGGGCGGAGTTACATGAATAAAATACCAGGAATGAAAAATAAAACGAAGGCAAGTGACCCACATGACTGTCGCGCATACGTGTAAACACGGCGCGCCGGCATGGCACACGCGCGAAAGGGAACGACTTATTCACTGAAAGCCTCGCCCGACGGAGAGTTCGGATGTGTGCCACACACCCCCGCCCCCCTCCCCGTTGGAGAAATCCTTGTTTTTTTTCCTCTCCTCTGCTTCCCTTTCATGCCCATCCGTCCCCGCCACCCCTCGCTTCCTCCCCATTCGCCCGCGCCGGTCGGTGCCTCGCGCGATTCGGCGTCCCGCGCGCTAAGAAAAGGGCGAGAAAATAGGTCCCCGTATTCCTCCGGAGTGCCATTCAGCGCCGTAATTTATTCCAGTTTCATGAATCCCCTTTTGCGAGCTCTACCCCCGCCCCGCCCCCCGTCGCGGCCCCGCGTCCCCTCGTCCTTTTCACTTCTGCCGTTCTTTATCAGAGACTGCTCCGCGCCCGTTAATCCGAGTTACCTCCCTTTCTCGGCTTTTCTCTCTGCGCCGTCTATAGCAACCCTTTCCCCTCCCCGTCGTCCTTCGCCCTCCGTCAGCGAACGCCGCCCCGCGCGCGCTCTCTAATTTATCTTGTCAAGCTTTCATTTCGTCCATTACGGACTTCTTTCAAGCTACGAGTACTTGTTGCGCAGGTACGATTGATATTATGAATTCTCTCTAAAAGCACGCCTCTACGCTGGAGAAGTGGCTGCGCGAGGATCCCTCGCAGCGAAATGTCGTTCTCGTCGCGGGAGGGCGGGGGGAGGGGGAGGGGGAGTCGGCGAACAGAGATCCTACGATCTCTTTCTCGGGGCCACTTAGCACGAGCGTGTAAAATCTAAATCGATATTCCAGCGCCAGCCGGTACAGAGCGGGCGAGCAATAACTCTCTCGGCTTCGCAATATCGAGCGTGCGCGGCGCAGCGCCGGCACGCTCTCCACGCGCCACCCGGGGAGAATAATATTGAAATCACGGGGTGGCACGTCGTCGTCATCGCCGTCGGGGTCGTCGCCGTCGGTAGTCGTCGGCGCCGCAAGTAGGCCAGCGGCTCGAAATAGAAACCGTCAACTGGGGCAGTCGATGCCCAACGTAAGACACCATTCGTCGCGGCACGTCCCGCCGACTTTTCCGCACCGACGTACATACACACACGTCCTCCTGTCTCGCTCCCTTTTCCCCTTCATCCCTTCTCCCTATGGAGAGGGAGGGAAGGGGAGTGCCGTCTGTGCCAAACGCGGGGACGTCACCGCGTTGCAGCCTCCACGCGCCAAACGCCGGCGATCACGCGCGTCCCCGGGGCGATTTTCCGCCGCGTCGATGAACGTCCACGTCGGTGACTGCGGGATTTATGCGGGACCGAGAACTTACGACTCCGTGGAACCGACTCTGGGAGAGATAAGACAGCAACCCATTTTGGGACCCACAATTAGTAATCGAATTATTTCGATTGTTCGACGACTCTACTCTGGGAAAAATTTTGACCGTTTTTTTTTGTAGTTAAGCAACTTAACATTTCGGTTAGTGCATCTTAAGTGAAAATTATCTTTGCGTTACTGAATAGCGACAGAACTAATTGAGAGAATTGATTAGTATTACTTAAAAATCTTGGATATAGATAGAACAGCTAGTTGCGATTTTTAGTTACGCGGGATAAAATTCGTAAGAGATTAGAGTCTTTTTTTCCCCAGAGTACGGGGGCGGTTTACGTGCCTCGCTAATCGCATTCGTCGGCGATCGTCGTTTGCGGAATCGATCGCGAGACGCAAATCTAATCAATTCACGCCGCTAGAACCTCGTTAGCGACGGCAATATCTCGCCGCGGGGAAATTTTATTTCTACGACTTCACCAATAATTACGAATCAAACGCGAGAGGATTATTGAATAACGGGCTCTCGTCACAATCGTCGCAGTTTCGTCGTTAATTACCGCACGTAGAGGAACGGCGGGACGCGAGGCGCGGTTGAAGATGCAATTAAATCCGCGTTGCTACCTGCCCGCATTAAATAGCACGCGCGTATAAATATGAGGGGGGAGAGGGTGGTGACTTTATTTCACCGGATCTCTCTCTCCCGCGCGTCGTTGTACGGGTTAAATGTCTCGAAGCAAATGCATTAATACGGGCGATAACGCAGGCGGACTTTAATGCAGGCGTTTACATGGGCCGTTTTAGCTCCGCAGGCTCGCTCAAATATACGTGCTTACCGGCAGTTTTAGCATCCGGCTTAACAGGACGTAATTTTCCGCAACGGCGACGTAATGAGGCGTATATAAAACGACACTAACCCCGTACGCTCATCATATCGTTCGTATATTCTCTTTATGATGAGGCGACATCGCTAAGCTCGTACTGCTAAAAATAAACGGTAATGCCCGGCCCCCTCGTAACCTAAATTGCGATTAGGGCTCGGAGGAGGTATTTAGAATTACGCTTGTAGAACCGATTGCCCGAGGCGACGTTGACGCCAGTAACACTTAATATTTTCTCGTTCAAGTTGTGAAAGTATTGCCAAGTAATTTATCTGCATGGTTAATGTTTTTTCGCCAGATCTTTTAGACAGCATCACGCTTTATTTCGGTGTACTCTTTTCCTTTGGGTGTTCGATACGTGCACAACACACCTTGCATTTAATTCGTCCCTTCAAGCGCCAATGATCACACACACACACACACCGATACACTTAAATGTCTACCAAGATTATTCCTTGGATATACTTTCCACTTGACACTCGCACAACTTTCAAAATCGTTGGACGCTCATCGTGTCTCAGTTGATGTAACTTGTACTTAATCTCTTTTGAAAAATTAAAAGCACCAATTGCACTCTGTCTGTCCTATCTTTTAACGCGCCTCGAGTGCGCTCACTTGCAAATAGCTACCGAGCAATTGCCCTCGCACATTCTTGCACCCTCTCTGCTACGTATCTTTCAGAAGCACTGCGAAATCTCGATTCTCGTTAAACGACGTAAATAAGATCGCGAAAACTTTCGATTAACGATCCCGTAAACGGTCGCCTCAAGTTGAACTTGGACACTTGGAATTTCTCACCGTCATTTTTCCATATCTGCCATTCCTTACGCAACACACGCGACCCCACTCTGACAAGGTGCATGAGTATCTTGGGCGATTCAATGCATGCACGTATGTCCGGCATGTGTCGAATGTACGCAGAACCCGTTCAGTCTTATACGACGTCATCCATACACGCGATCACATCGAAACGTGTCGTTCTTTTCAAACGCGTGTGAGACGTCGTGATCGCCTGTTGTTTTCTCATTTTACGCCTTGCCACCCTCGCGCGAGGAGCAAGCGACCCCCGGGCATACGCGAGCGCGAAGCCCGTGGGTCGTTTTCACTCGTCAGACATGCTGCATCCCTTGTCTCATCATTTATCATCTCATGATCCACGGCCGGTGCGAGTGAGTAACGAGGTTTGATCGCGCGTGTAGAGGGAAAGGCCCCTGAATAATGGAGCACGTCCCAGCCCGCCCCGTCGGGCGGTATTAAAACTTCATTTCGCTCTCCCTGCAAAAATGATGAAATCGTTAGAAAAGGCCTCTCGGTGGTCTCTCCGAGATAAAAGTTCTACAACGCGTAACGTGCGTGTCTCTTCGCGCACGATCGAGATAGACGGATTCGAGCAAATCGCTCGATACACGGAGAGAATTTTCTTTTCAAATTTACCCTGAAAATCGTGCGACATGGCATTTTGACCAACTTTATCAGAGTAAAATGTATTATCTAATCAGAATTCTTCAATGTCGCCGGCGGTAATTAACAACGTCAGTGTTTCCTTGACCATACCTGGCATCTTTGATAATGCAGAAAATTTATTGCGATAAACATTACCTCAGCCGGAGTTTAAACCTGGACCTGCCTACACCCTAGGCGGGCGTCTCACCAATTCGACCACCGCAGCATATGATAATATTTGTCGCAATAACAGTATAAAGATGTTGTCTACGCGCAGTTCACAAAAGTCGAAAATATACGCGTAGACAACATCTTTATACTGTTATTGCGACAAATATTATCATATGCCGCGGTGGTCGAATTGGTGAGACGCCCGCCTAGGGTGTAGGGAGGTCCAGGTTTAAACTCTGGCTGAGGTAATGTTTTTCGCAATAAATTTTCTGTATCATTACAGATGCCAGGTGTATGGTCAAGAAAACACTGACGTTGTAAAATGTAAGGTAAAATTTCAAAAAAGCAAAATTCTTCGAAAGGCCATGTTGTTCCGCGATTACCTACATGATTTTTAGGATAAATTTTCAGAGAAAATTCTCCCCATGTACAAGTTGTTAAATTCGCCGCTGATGACACTTCTCTCGCGTCTTATCGAGGCTCACTGCGGACAACGCGCGCGACTTGAAATAAAACGGAGACGCACGCTCGCACCGGCTTTATACGCGTTCATTACGATCCCTCGTTTATGTTGAGTGTTGGTGTTGGTGCAAGGGGCAGGAGACGCCGATATACATATGGTACGAGTCGTATCCGACCCACAGTGGCGAGGGATACGAAGGTCGTGTCTCGAGGGTGAGCGAGAATTCGCCGTACGGCCAGGCTAGCCTCAATCTGACGAACATCCGCGAGAGCGATCAAGGATGGTACAAGTGCAAGGTCGTCTTCCTCAACAGGTCGCCCAACAGTCACAAGAACGGTACCTGGTTTCATCTAGACGTCCACGGTAAGTAACGTGTTTTCTACCATGTTAATTCCCGCGCGTCTTCCGGCAGCGAGTATCTTTACGATTCGGAATTAAAGCGATGCGGAACGGTGTAATCTCTTCCTGCTAGGCGACACGTTCCGAGTTTGCATCGTCGCGGAATATGAACGGCGGAAAGTACAAATGGAAAGTTACCTTCGGGTTATATGGAACTTGATGAAAAAGGAACTTGATATTCACGTAAAGTTGTCTGCCAGTAATAAAAGTTATATCCGCTGTGTGCTAAACGCGCTCTTAGCCGAAGCTTTTATGTCCAGCTTATATAACATGAAATTACGTTATTTCTGCTTCGAATAGCCTCGTTAATATCACTTTGAACTTAAGAAGATTTTACGACTTCGGCTAATGCAGTTTTATAACACTTGCTGGAAGTTAACCGCGTAAGTTGAGGCCGCGTTTGAATAAGTCGGCGAATTTGCAAATTTCCACAATTTGCCGGAGAAGAGATGCGCGTAATACAAGAAAAAAATATATACCTTTATATTATTTTATTACAATACATTTGTGTATTAATCTTGTGGCCAAATAGTTTTGCCGAGACGGCGAATATTTTGAACGAAATAATGCAAATTGCACGCGTTTCGCTTAACTTATACTTGTCTCCCGAGCATTAAATTCGCCAAATTTACCTGCACTCGGGTAAGAACGCGCGCGCATGTTAACGTTCGATAATGGAAACTGATCTTGTCGAGAGCCACGCATCGATCGCGGGGAAAAGAAACACGTTCGCGCATTGCCGGAGACACGCGAAATTCCGGAATATCCTCCTTTCGCGCTTGGTTAAACACATCGGCGAGCATAGTATACGAAAATATTCCCTTTTCTGTCGCGCCCGCGTTCCACCTCGTACCGGTCGCGTCCTCGGAGCTTACCCCGTCGACGTGACTTCCCGTCAGGAAAAGGAAAGCACGCGGATCATAAAAGGCGCTTCGGAAAGACGCCGCCGGTTCCCCGATGCGGCTCGATGCTGAATTGTACATTCAGCAAACACCGCGCAACCACGCCCCGTCGTGTTGCCGTTCCCCAAAGCCCCCTGAGTTCGCGCGTCGCGGAAGAAGTTGTGTTTCTTGCTTGCTCAGCGCGCGGTTCGAACTTACGTCTTCTTCCGGAGTTGTTCGCCGTGCCCTTCGTCGCTTCGACGAAATCTCCCGAGAAACGCGTCCCTGCTTACGGCGAGTAAAATGGAAAGGAGGATCGCAAGAAGATCGTGTTACTGGACGGGAAATGGGACAAGGGGAGAGGAGGAAAAAAGAAAGGACGAAGAAAAGCGATAGAAGAAAGGAGGGGGAGGGAAACTTATTGCCACGCTTTGCTCGGCTATAAACGACGACGAAGAGCCGGAGGGTAGAGAAACGTTTAGATGGCTTAGGGAGGATGTGTTGCGCGTTGTCCTCTTTTTTTTCCCCTCCCTCGTCACACCTCGTCCCGTCCCTTTCCCCGTCAGTCCGCTCCGCTTATTCCCAATTTCTCCGTCGGGTTCCCCGTCAAGCTCTCGGTCACACTCGACAACAATAACAACAGCGAGGAGGGCGACGACGGGAGTGACGATAGACCCGCAAACGGCGTCAAAGGGAAAAATACTCGGGGCAGCCGGAAAGCGCTTAAGATCCCTTTATACTTTGCCAGTCGACTCCATTCGGTCGCTTGCTCGCGTTAGAGTCATAAACCGTCGCATCCCGCCGCGTCACTTCGCCTTTTTCTTCTTTCGCTTCCTCCCATCTCCGCCCTGTATCCTCCGAAGCGTCGCTCTCGAAATTAAAATTCCTCGTCTTCGAATAACAACGAACGCGAGCAGACGGCGCATAGCAGCAGACAATATCCCGGAAAAATAGAAAACGGAGAGACAGAGGGCGAGAGAGAACGGGGGGAGGGCCGCCGCGAATAGCAACAATTCGTAAGGAAGTCTGCGCTACGTGAAGCTTTTGCAGAAATATTTACCTGAGCCCTTTCCGATTCCACCGGATTTCTTGCGCGCGCGCGTTCACGTCGATTAAAATTTTTCCGACGGAACGATTCCGTCTCACGGAGGAAACACGCAGTGCGCGGGGAATGTCGCGCGGAGGACGGTTTTCTTAACCATTACGCCGCGGAAAATTTGCATTATTTCAATCAGCCGTTTTTCCCCATTTTCCCCTCTCGACCTCGCTCTTGTTCCCTCGTTCGAAATTGTCGATCTTACGGCGCCGTACCGCCCTAAGACGGGGGAGAGAGAGAGAGAGAGAGAACACAGTCGACTCCTTGCGTCACCGTTCGGTCCCGAGCGATGGGCAGCGGCGAGCCATTGTAATTTCCCCGGGATGAAAGGAGGGCGGACGATAAAAACGCGGACGGGAACTTCTTGAGGAACATTTTCTAAACGTCCTCCACCTCCTCTCCTCGGACTCGATTGTTCTCCTAACGTCATTTACCCGCGGCTATTTTCTGTCATGGAAGTGCCAGGCGTCGTCGTCACTTGCAAAAAGATAAACGCTTACATTTTTTGCGAAGCCTCGCTCGGCGATAGCAACGTTACTGGGTCGTGAAAAATAATCGGTGACGCAGGCGACGATTTTGTTCGAGTGAAACGGAACCGACTCGGTCGGTCAGTCGGTCCATAGTATAACAAGTAGCTCTCTGTCGGCCCTTTGATCTTCTCGCTCCGTCATTTGTTTCGTTTTACGTCGATCCCTTCTACGCATCCGACATTTTGTTGGTCCAGCCGATAAGAGACAAGTTGTATGTGTGGAAGTGTAGCTTCGATACACTACCACACATACCCCCATGAAAAAGTATACATATATCCCAAAATATATAATATAATATATCAATACTTACACGTTAATATATATAAATGTGTATATCTATAAAATATAAGAATGCATATAACTAATTAAATCATTTTTTGCCGCCTATGATATAGAAGAAATATAAGAAAATACTATACCTATATTTACATAAAATATGCAAAATATATTTTTGATACACAATTTAATATAAAATAGATATATTAGAAAATATATGAAATATATGCCTGCATATATGAAATTAAATCATTTTTTGCCGTTTAAAATATATGATGAATATAAGTAAAGAAGGTACATTTTTACTGTACTCAAGAATATATATACAAATATTATATATATGCAGTTTATACAACATATAATTTTTAATATATTTTTACATGTATATTTTTCATGGGGGTACAACTACAGTACGTATACACACACATACGCCGTTGGATTTGGATCATAGTATGATTGGTAGCTCAGTTCTCTGTCTACCCTTTGATCCTTTCGGTCCCGATCACGTGGCACTACGCCATGTTTTTGGCCAGAATCCATTAAAGCTACACTACCAAGCATACAACTTTTCTCTCATTGGTTGGGCCAAAAAAAGGGCGGATATGCAGAAAGGATCGACGCAAAACCAAATGACGGAGTGGACCTACTAGTTATACCATGACCGGTCCGCGCATCGCGCTCCCTAGAACATTGTAGTCGCGATGCAATGCGATAAGATGCAGTTGTACAGAATCATATCTAATCGCTTGAAACTCGCCTCTATTGTTCACAGCGCCACCCAGATTCAGCATAACGCCGGATGATATGATATACGTGAATCTGGGCGATGCGATAATACTCAACTGCCAGGCTGAGGGCACCCCGACGCCAGAGATCCTCTGGTACAAGGACGCGAATCCGGTCGAGCCCAACGGCCGAGACGTCGGGATATTCAACGACGGCACCGAGCTCAGGCTGTCGACGATCAAGACCGAGGACATCGGCGATTACACCTGCATCGCCAGGAACGGGGAGGGCCAGATCAGCCATACCGCGCGCGTCATCATCGCTGGTGAGCGGCTTTGATAAGAACGTCAGGGAGCGTCCCTGGTCGCGCGGAACCGCAATTTCGTCGCGAAGTTGAGCAATAAATTACCCGCTCGCCCGTCGCCCGTCCCCCGCGCACGGTGAGCGGCGAACGACACGATTACGTTCGACAGCAACCGAGCCTGATCGAGTGTGAGAGATAAAACTTTTTTAATTTAAGTCTTACTGTCATTCAGAAATATATTTGCCGGCGAAGATGCGGAGATAGAGCGCCCAGGCACGAGGGTGGGTATCGCGGGATTATAAGAATTACCATGCCCCGTTTTAAACTTATGACTGTAACGTAATAAATGAATTTGCGCGAGCGTCTCTACACGGACAGAATTTTCTTTTAAAATTTACCTTGAAAAGCATATATTCGTGGGACAACATGGCATTTTGAAGAACCTTATGAGTTTTTCGAAATTTTACAATACATTCTACTAGTAAAATGTATACTAATTGTAAATATAATTGCTACACGGAGAGAATTATTTTTTAAATATACCCTGAAAATTATGTAGTCGTGGGACAACATATTTCGAAGAATTTTGAGTCTCTTGAAATTTTACTAGTAAAATGTTTACTATATATAATCACTAGTGAAATGTATGGTAAAATTTCAAAAAAACTCTCACAAAGTTTCTTCGCAAAATGCTGCACATTTACTGCTGATATTCAGGATAAATTTGAAAATTCTCTCCGTGTGGTCAAAGGTATGGCAAATTTTACTAAACTCATAAATTCTTCGAAATGCCATGTTGCACCACGATTATATGACTTTCAGGATAAATTTGTAGATACGCACCTCGATATACAGGATTACATAATACCCGCCTCACCTTTTACTTGCAGATAGAGCGGACTAGACTAAGTCGAAAAGTCCTCTACTATTTTACAATTTTCGCAATAGTTAACGAGATATTAATTATTAAAAATCGTGTCTTAGCCCGGTCTACCGCTCAATTCCAGCGCACGACGAGATGCGGCGCGATTGTCGCGCGAAAAGTTTTTTATTGTACGTAGCCGTTGCGGTGTGTCATAAACAACTCCCCGCGCGCCTAGCAATGCCAATCGCGGGACGGCCGCATCTTGCCGCGCGTTTGAATTGGGCGGTAGGCCGGGCTAAGACAGCGAGTTTTAATAATTAATAGCTCGTTAACCATTGCGATAATTACAAAATGGTACAGGACTTTTCGACTCGGTATAACCCTCTCTGTCCGTAAATAAGAGGCGAGGCGGGTATTACATAACACCCTGTATATCTCTCCTTTTCTTGTGAGTTTTAATTTCTCAAAAACATCCCCCGGCAGAAGTCACGCGCTCGACGTGTTCCCGCCCGGAAGGTTTTAAATTCCGAAAAAGTCCGTCTCAAAATGCCTCGACGTGATTTCACCAACGCGAATCACGAGCGGGGCGTCCACTCCGCGGTCTCGCCGCGGCGAATAACAAGCGCTTTTTTCCGCCGTCGACCCCGGTAATATCTCGCGGGAGACATTTGCGTGCGCGCTGTTAAGTATTACACTCTGGACGGGAGCGTGTTACTGCGTTCCACGGCGACCGCTTAATCCACTTGGTCCGGCGGCTGCGACAAAAACCATCGTTTTAGCGACTCGCGTTAAACGAGCGAACGATATCGCGGCGTCGCGCGTCGCGTGACGATTGGGATAATTAAAACCGAACCGTCCGCGTTGCTGGCGTTTAACTCGTCGGGGTTGACGAGGAGCGCGAGACCCGTCCGTCCCGGTTGATCCCATGGAAATATCTTAATCAATCACCTGTCCGTCAACCGATCGCCGATTTTATCGCTACACAAATGCCTACTGGCTCGGAAAGATAGGGCCGCGCGCGTCTGTAGACGGTCGAGCCTGTTAAATACTTGTTTTGTTCTGGCAATTAAACGCCTATTTTTCATAGCTAAGTTAGATGCGTAATTAAAATATAATTAAGCAATATTTCATAAAAGTTCCGCCTTCCGGCCGGGCGAGGGAGGGGGAGAGGTGGGGTGGGACTCAGGAGTCTCTCGGTATATAACGCCAGTAAACTAATTAAAGAAGAAGATTCTTTGTACCGAAGCTAAGAAGAAGAAGAGTCTTTCTTTTTAGCCGAACATAAATATAAAGTCGATTGATTAGTTTGCCGACAACGAGACGCCGCAGCGCACTTTTTTTCCGGAAACTAATTTAATATGAATCGCGCATTATATATATATATATACATATATATATGTGTAGGTGTATATAGTAAGCGCGCTTTAATACACTTCCGAAAATTGCCTCGACATGCCAGCGCGATTAATTATCCGCGATCGGCACCCGAAGAGAATAATGCAAAATACGGCTGCCTGCCAGGCCGATAATTAATAAACAGCAAACTGCTGTAGTAATTATCGAGCGCGCCGTTATCAGAAACAGATATCCCTCGGTAATCAGCGATCAGCTGAACACCGGTAATGCAATTCCAATAACCTGCATGCCAGAAAATATCTTAAAGCGGGCGCGGTTAGTTCCGCCAGTTTTGTTGTTTATCGATCCGCCGTGTAAGCCGTTCTTCTCTCTCTCTCTCTCTTTCTCCGCCCCCCTCGTCGGCTTTGCTCGATGCGCAATCGGAAACGAATTCTCACGGGCAGGTAACCCCAGTCCATCGCGTCTTCGCGATACGTTCGATAGATCTGGCGTAGACCCCGCGCGAGTTTCAAACGGAATAACAAACGGCCCTCTCACGAGCGATTTCGCAAAAGTTCTCGCGGCCGTCCCGCGGGAGATCCGTCGAGATCTGAAATATCGTGGCCGGGTCCAGCGTCGTCCATGATTTTCAAGTATCGTCGAAACCCTCGTAAAGCTGACCGATGCAGTCCGCGACTCTGAACAACGACTTCTCGCGACTCGCGATTAATCGTGGCCGCTTCGATATCGCGCAAGTTCAATATAAATCGTCGCTTTCTAAAAAGTCAGCGCGCGCGATTCGAAACAAGGTGCACGCTCACCGTCTCATTATCTCCGGTTTAATTAACTCGATCTCTCGTCGTCCCTCTCGTTTCTCCGCAAGTTCCTCACGCCGCTTTCTTAATGTTCGTTGTAAAGAGGGTTCTCACCGTGCGGCGTGATGTAATTTAGTCGAAAAGAATAATACAAAATGATCTCGGCTATTAGGTCTTTACCCATAATGTCCGTAATAATCTGGCGAACGAGAACGAGATTTTTTTCAAGGAAACGCCCGATGCCACGAGGCTTGGATTTCCGTTTGTTATATGCCGCTATAACAATTGACGATCTCTCTCTCTCTTGATGACGCGAATAATCGTGCGCACGGGCCAGGTGTTCGTCATTCCGTGTCGTGGCTTCACGATCCAGCTCGAGGAAAAAGATAAGGGGGGTCGCAATCCCGTCCGCGACGGCGCAACCGTTTCAGTCGTCCGTTTCCCCCTGCCAAGGAGAACGGAAAACGTTTTCCCGTGATCGAAGGCGCGGGGATGCCCGATGCATCCATAAAGCGCAGGCACGGCGCACGTACCGGGACGTGTAGCGCGCGGCGTCGTCTCCTCCCCGTAAATTTTACGAGCCGATACATTTACTCATATCGATACCGTTCGACCCGCCGCGATAAAACTCGCGTTAGGCAAAGTGGTTACAGCGGGGCTTCCGGGCTCTCCGTCGCTCGTTTCGCCAGCCAATTAAGGCTATTCCCCCGTACCGGCGGTTCCGCGTCGAGGCTGTGGAAGGAAAAGCGGGGGCGGGGAGGGGGGGAGGGGTTAAAAGGCGATTTGTCTTGTTTTTCCGGAGCCAACAGCCACTTTTCGCCTCCGAATGGAACTTCTTGTTCCATTTCGCTTCCCCCTCCCTTTTTTCCAGCGTCGCGTCGCCGGTTTTTGCCCCGCAACCACTGCAAATTTGTAAGCCGCGCCAACGGCAAGCCACCGCCGCCGCGCCGGGACATCCGTCTTCATCATCGTATTGTCTTACCGTCTCGCGCGCCTCTTGTTTTCGCGCCCGTTCACCGGCTCGGCCGCGAGATGGTTATTTAATGGATTGAGAAATGGCGCGAGTGTCGCTGGCTCGAAACGACGGCGAGATCGTAAAATTTGCTCGCGCGCGAGGAATAAAATTAGACGAACGCTGCCAGAAGCCATCCGCGGCCCACCCGTCTCCAAAGACGAGCGATATCAGAACAAACTGTAATGTTGGGGTAACACGTCTCTTATACATTTTATCGTTCGTTCGGTTTGATGCGTAAAATCATATATTTGAAACAAAGGAAAACCTATCTTATAAACATAATGTGAATTTATCAATTTTTATGCCGCTTTGTCCCTGAAGCAAGATTTCATTCAAAAAATTTTTGAATGACGCTAAAGCAAGGATCTGTCACATTAATTCAATTTTGGATTAAAAAAATGCCACCAGTCCCCTTTCTGTTCGCACCGGTTCAATCACTGTCGATAGACAACAGATTAAAGCTAGGGGCGCAAACAAAATTTCTCTTACGTAGATGCATTTATCTTTTCCATTCTCGAAAAAGAGACACGTGTATTTTCATGCGGTGCAAACATAATGGCGCGTTTCGCCAGGTTAAACGAAGTAGAGCATTTAAAGAGGACGAGAACACGCTGGAAAGTAAACATTAGAAAAATAAATCATTCTAAAATTTATTCTGCATCTCGACTGCTGCTCCATTTGCTGAACTACCCTTCGCGTCTCTCGCGGTACCACGTATTTGCGATGTGCAGCGTGATGTAGCGCGACGCTGCACCATCATAGCTGTGTACTTGGCATGAGAGTCCCCCGTCCTCTCTCCCTCTCTTCCGCTCTCTCTCTCTCTCTCCCTCTGAATTTCATTGCCCCCGTTTGTCAAGATTTTCGTCTAGTTGGCAAACGCTGGAATTTGTCACCGTGACACTTCTCGCATCGGGAATGCGACGGAGCCGCGGGTATAAACGCAATGTGGTTGATGATACAGCGGCACGGCGCGACAGTAGTTTAATAAACACTTTGTGACAGTGTTTTCGCAATCTCTCGCGGTCAGACGCGCGAATATTTTCGCGAGGGAGGACACGACGAGGGCGAAACTCGGAGGAAGGAGCCGGCGTTCGAAACCCCCGATAAATATCGACCGTACATCGGCGGGGGTATCGCCCCTCGAAGCCGGTAAAAACAACGTCGTTAACGATCGCGCGTAATGCGCGCCGCATACGCGTGGCAACTTTACGGTAACCGCGCACGCTGATTCTACGGGCAACTCGGAATTCCATTGCCCTCATTTGCCCCGGACTTTGCGAACTTTCTCCATCCCCACGGTAAAGTATCCTTCCGAGTTCTGCTCGCGTCCGCGTGACGTACATAACATACATCATCGTCCGCGCGCGAATAATTAAAATGCATTCTGTTGATCGCGCGCGCGCGCGCGAGAATGAAGAACAAAGCGCCGCGCGCCGTTCCTGCAAAGCACGTTCCTGTGAACGATTGGACGGCGGGAAGGTAGAGATATGCGAATCGTGCTTTCGTGTGGTCGAATCGAATCTACTCGAATGCTTCGAAATACTTTCGAATCGAATCTGTTCACTTTCGAAGTCGAATTGAATCTTTTCATGTCGAGTCACTTTTTCCCGGGCTCATCATACGTTGATTCGAAAATGAAACCATAAACCTGACCATTTTTCAATATTTTTCATTAAAAAAATGATTTCATTATTACAAAAAGTGTTACATTCGCTCGAAACAATGATCTTGCAATTGCAGCAACAACTTTCTAGGTACGGAGAAATAATGTATAAATGGATATATAACCAATACTGCAAAATCGCATGTTTTGTTTTTAATGAATTTAAAAGCAGAAACAAAATTTCTATCTGAACTGTTAGCGAATGTTAGGATGAACAGTTATATTCCTTGCAAAGATTGTTCTAACTGTGGCACCGAAATTAATTTTTATCCAATATAATGATTAATACTTTCCAGAAGGTATTACTACAATGTTGCTGCTATACCAAAATTTTGTAAACTACAAACAATTTTCTAACAGATACACAAAATAACGATAAATTTTTGTTGCGTCCTAGAAATCTACCTGCATTAGTAAGATATTTTTTTGAGTGGTTATTACAGGAAAAAAGATCAATTCGAAATCATCGAATTATTCGAACCTGAATCTCTTTGACTCGAAAATGAATCAAATCGAGCCTTCTGCGATTCGATTTGAATTCGATGCGATTCGCATATCTTTACAAGAAGACAGCCGAGCTCCCGAGTCTCCTCGTCAAGCGCGAGTTAAGATGAAAAAATTTAACGCGCCGAGTACTGTCCGATTTGATTGGTATCGGCCGTTAAGGTAAACCCTTTTCTGCGCGCGTGCCCGGGAGTAGATGCAGCGCGAGCGCGGAGGATTGCGGGAGGAAACACGTTTTCTCTCCACCTTTTTCTTCCCCTCTCCGGGCAACAAGTTCTCATTCCGCGCCTCGTGCGTTTATCAAGATCGTAGATTCAAATTTATTCCTGTCGCACCCGCTGCGGCATGCACCGCTGGCGCGCATTGTAGCGCGTCTTCTCGGAGGTGCAACTGGATGCAATATATTGAGACATCGGGCGCGCGGAGCTTAGAATATCGTTGCTCCTGTTTCCGCGGATTTTCATTCGCGCGCGGAACGCGCGTATTTCCTTGCGGCGGCGGCGGCGTTCCCCGGCGGCCCTTTCTCGGCCGACGCGTTCATCCCTTGGCTCGAAATTCCCGTCGTCCTTGAACGCTCGCGCCGCTCCGCACCGAAAAGCTATTCCGCAACCTCGAATTTGATTATGTCGACACGCGAGGACAGGCAAACACCGCAACAATCTGCCAAATGTTTAATTGTTCAAACGCACGTCAATATATTTGCAGCATCGTAGCGCCAGACGTATCGGCGTTCGTTTGCGTGTATAAATTTACACGTTGTTTGCGCGACACCTATACCCTGTTTACTTTGCCAACTGGCAATCTCGAATTCAAGCGTGTATATGGATTTTGAGTGTCGCACGTCCGAAATTAAAATGTAAAAGCAGAAATGCGACGGAGATTGCGAGCGGACGACGGCGTTCAGCGTCCGAGCCATACAATTCGCAATCGCAGAGAGTTCGGCGTATAAATATTGAATCGTAAATAAACGTTTCTCCCTCCAGCGCGGTAACCAACGCGTATACGCGAAATCTCGCGCGATACAATAAAAGTAGAAAAATAGCGCCATTAATTTTGTAGAGTTTGAATTTCACTATCGGCGAGCTTCCCTTTGCAGACCGATGCCTCTCGACGTGCGAATTCCAGTGTCGCTAATTCCCTGACAATTTTGCGTACGCTCGCTCGATCTCGTCACGATCCGAGGGAGCTTCTTCCCCCCCCCCTCCCTCCCCCCCCCCCGTTGTCTGACAACGCGGAGATGAAGGCTTCTGTAATCCCGACGAACGACGATAGATCGGATTGCGGGAAATGCCGCGGAATCGCGCGAAGGTAGGAGCTCGGTCTTTTGTGCGGCGGGAATCGATCTTCCGCTATAATACGGCGAGATATATAGTATATTCGCTTCTGAGGCAAAGCCGCGAGTTTTGAGATTCCTCGGGCGTGAATACGAGACGGACCGTGGGCGTGGACGACGTTGGATATCGATGAAGATATAATGCACCCTGTTGAGCGTGGACTCGGAAGCGCAGAAATCGCGGAGGCGAAAGGCAAATTTGTGGCTAGGTGCGCTCGACCACGAAGCTCGTACTCTTTCCACCTGTCTATTCATCGCGGTGATTTTTATTGACGAGAGAGAGAGAGAGAGAGGGGGAGGGGGGAAGGAAAGAGAGAGAGAGACATTATCGATAATCGATGGAGACGCTACAGGCTCTGTTTCTCCCGCTACCTGACGGCGAGTCAGATGCACCGCGTGCTGTTGTCTCTTCCGGGATATCTTTGACAGCGAGACAACCAATATCAGCGGTCAATCGCCACCGCAGATATCCTAGATGCGATAGCTTCTACTACGGCACTACATCGGTCGCGTTTGGTTTCGGTGACCGTAATCGATATCTCGCCTTTTTGGTACCCTCTCCCCCTGCTCCTCCCGTAGCTGAAGCTATAAGAAGTATAAAGAATCGCCCGTTTGATTGATTCACAGGTGGAGCCGTTATTATGGTGCCGCCGACGAATCAAACGAAGCTGGAAGGCGAGAAGGTGCAATTCTCCTGCGAAGCGAAGGCGCTTCCGGGTAACGTGACGGTGCGCTGGTTTCGCGAAGGCGCTCCCGTCACGGAGGTCTCGGCCCTGGATACCAGAGTGTCCATCAAGATGGACGGCAGCCTGGTCATCAATCCCATCAGCGCCGATGACTCCGGTCAATACCTGTGCGAGGTCACTAATGGCATCGGCGATCCTCAAACTGCTAGCGCCTATCTGAACGTCGAGTGTAAGGCTTGTTTTCCAATCGTCCAATTAGAAAATTAAACGGAATTAAAATTCGTACGGTGTCCCAACACGTAAACGTCCAAGTACTGAGCGGTGTGCTTAAAATTGCAAAGTTGAGCCAAGCTTCAAGCGCAGAGTCGCTTAACGCGATCAATGTTTCGCGTATTTCAGACCCGGCGAAGGTCACGTTCACCCCCACTGTCCAGTACCTGCCGTTCCGTCAGGCCGGTGTGGTCCAGTGTTACATAAAAGTCAACCCGCCCCTGCAATACGTGACCTGGACCAAGGATAAACGCCTACTCGAGCCTTATCAGACGAAGGACATCGTTATCATGAACAACGGCTCCCTGCTCTTTACACGGGTCAATGAGAATCACCAAGGCAGATATACCTGCACGCCTTATAATGCCCATGGCACGCAGGGCAGCTCGGGTCCGATGGAGGTCCTTGTGCGGAACCCGCCTTCCTTCTCCATCGAGCCGGAACCAGTTTACACGAAGAAGGTCGGCGAGACGGTCGAGATGCACTGCGATGCTCAGGAAGCCGAAGGAACGCAAAAACCATCGATACAATGGCACCGGGTACAATCTCAGTTAGAAAAGATATTCGTTTAGATTACGCATTTTTTAATCTTTTTTTTAAATATGCTTTTATTATTTTACCATCGGAACGACCCTTTCCTGCCATTTTATAACAATTAAACGGAGAGAATTTTCTCTTAAAATTTACGCTGAAATATGGTAAATTTTCAAAAAATCTCTCGTAAAATTCTTTGAAATGCCGTGTTGTTCCACGATTATAATAGGATAAATTTTAAAAGGAAATTCTCTCCGCATACAATTCTTTTTCTTAAATATCTTTTAATAAAAAGACGGCGGCCTGGTTTTATAAAAACGTCATTTGTGTTGTCTAAATAATTGATTTACTACATTTAACGTTAAAACTGCCGGTCTAGATACTTCGTAATTTTTTATTAATTTATTTTCCGAGTTCTTCCATACTTTTTCTCGCCAACTTTTCATAGAGCATACGTAATAAAAGAAACAGACACGCGTCAATCGATAGTCCTAGCGTTGAGAAATATTTTTGACAAGCAGTCTCATCGCGCAACTTTGTAAAACGTTTTTTGAAACTGTCTCAGAGGGACGGCGGACCCATCGAACGCATCCGCGCGAAGGTCGTCGGGGGCAATCTAACCATAGAGAGCCTTCGGCGCGCGGATTTCGGGTTTTATCAGTGCGTCGCCACCAACGAAGTCGCCACCATTTCATCCTCGACGCAGTTGATCGTCGAGGGCACGCAACCCCATGCACCTTACAACGTGTCGGGCACTGCCACGCAATTCGCGGTAACGCTAATTTGGTTACCAGGCTATTCCGGTGGTCCCGATTACAAGCAAGATTACACTATCTGGTGGGTATATGGGATAGGCTGATAGGTATTACCATTTAAGGTTCCTTCCATCGACGCGGGCAATAATTGGCTCGGCCCGAATAACGGGGAACGGCAGTTCTCCATATCGTAAAAGCAATTTCACTTTGTATGGCGCGCGCGTTATAGGTGATATCGTTATATCGATATCACTTATAAGCGGGCCAACAAAATGTTTTGAGTCCAGCTTTAGAGACGCTCGATTATCTTTAACGCTTTCGTTCGTCTCCCGCCCTCGTTCAGGTATAGGGAATCGGGAACTTCGGAATGGAAGACAATCCCCGTAACTCCATCGGGCAGCACAACGGTGACGATCAACAATCTTACGCCTAGCACGCTCTACGAATTTCAAGTGATCGGCAAGAACGCCCTAGGCGAGGGAATGCTGAGCAAAGTCATCACAGTCAGGACGCTCGGTAATGAAAACCACGCATTACATATTCAAATTGTTTCGGCGGCTCAAGTTTTTCATAAATTGAATAAGTGTAATAACAAGCAAAGGGTACGCATCGAGTCTAATGAGCAAAACTTGATGATCTCGAAATAAATATTACTTCGCATGCAATCGAGCTGACCATCTATTAGGTGTAACTATTAGAACTACTAACTGTGGATATTTAACATCATTAACGCTAATCTAATCAGTAGTAACCAACGCATCGCTATCAACAAACTAATCTTTGCTATCTGTACAAATTTCTTTCTCACTATTCGCCTCTGTCGCTGCGTTCTCCAAGGCGTTGCCCTGACCCAGTCGGCGACTCCTTCCGGCCCTGATCGACCCTCCTCTCCGGATCAAAGTGGTAAGAATTAAACGAAATTAGTATCACTTAGGTCGCGATGTTGAAAAAATGAAAAAATTAAAATAAACGAAATCAACGAAAGAAACGATGTGTCTTATGCGGCCATCTATAAACGTTCATACCGCCGTAAATTTAACCACGTAAAATGCACCGAGGTGGTTCCTTCGATGTTACAATCGACGATTTTTACCACTAGTTTAAATCTGCAAGCTAGCAAAACGCGATCGGTCGCCGGAATATCTTGGAATATCCGCAAGTCGTACGATTCACTTCGTGAGCTGAGAATGGCATCTCGATGACTGTCGAAGGGAAATTCATGCGTGAGGGGTGTCGTTCCCGTCCTGATCCTCTCATCGGAGTATCGATCCGAGAGTCGAAAAGTAGCGCGCGATTTCTTCTTCGGCCAGAACCGTAAGGCGGAAAAAAAAGGAGAGAAGAGAGGAGAAACAAAAAGAGGCGAGAAGAAAGCGACAAGATAAGGAAAGGGGGGGGGGGAGAGAAGCGGGCAGGGAGACAGCAAATGCGGATGCGGAATGAAGCAAGGGGGAGGGACGGGGAGGAAACCGAGAAAAAGGGACGGAGGGAAGGAACGGAGACTTCCGTGGCGACTTATCGTATCGGAAAACCCATCGAGCCGTTCATTCTGCTTCCGCTTTTATTTCCTTCCCTCGAATCCACCGGTTCATTGCCTTCCATTTGTACACACCGTACCTCGAGCATCCCCGATACCGGCGTCTAGGGATTTCTATCTGGTTACCTTTCAAGCGTTTCTTTCGCCTATCTGACTCCTTTCCCGTTTGTACCTTTTTCTCGTTGTAGCGCTTTTTCGCTTCTTACGCTTATATCCCACGCACAAGCCCGCATCATCATCGGTTTCGCTCGTTAGTCCGACAAAGGGTCCGGCTTCAACAACGCTGGTTAACCACGGTTAACTAAATTTTCTTTTTCTATACCTCTACTGCTCTCCACACAAAGCGTACCGAAACCCATCGTGTTTCACAGGAATCCTCTCTAACTTTCGAGAGTCGATCTTTTTCAACGAACAATTTGTGTTGCATTTTCCTACGATTTATGTTCCAAGTTTTATGTTACATTTCTGTCCAAAGTCAAGAATAAATTAGGAGAACAAAATTTCGTTATCCACCCGTGTTATAAAGATGTGTCTCAGCTCGTTGACATATTTATGAAAGAAAAGTTAAACTTTTAATTTCCGAAATCTAATTAAAAGATACCTCACGGGGTATAGATATGTGAATAACGTATTGTGTTCTATATTACGGTTCAAAAAGAGATATTTGGGTCATAGACTTAATTGACATTGACGAACCCTAACATGATTAGCAGAGAATTGCAACGAGTCCGCTCAGATTTCATTTGTAAGAATCTGAAATTAAGCCGTCTCATTTTACAGCCTTGTAATATAACAGAAGCTTCTCCAAATATGGCTTATTTATTTCTAAGAGATTTAACTTTGTTTCTTCTTTATTTTTTTAAGTTTCCCTGTTTTTTCTTTTTATTTCAGACATCCTTGATTACAATACTCTCGTATTACCGACTGATTCCACAGGAAACCCCATGTTTCCGCCAATCGTACGACCGAAAGGTACATATTTCCATCTTTTTTTTTTAAACTTATATTTCATGTATTGTAATAGAATTCACAAAGTATAAAAATCTTTAATATTCTCTATTTAATCGTGATATTATCAAACGGCAATTACAATATCTTATTGAAATATTGGAGAGTGTCCGTCGACGTTTTCACACCGCCCACATCCGTTATTTACAGGTGATGTGTGAACGATGGTACACAATCGCCACTCTCCATCTCGTTCTCTTTCAACGTAAAAATCTTTCGCGTCGCGAAGAGAGGCGACAGCAAAAAAAATCCATTTTTCCCCCCTCAAGACCTCAAAACCTCTTTCGTTACGCGCGGGGTGGGATTAACCGCCATTACATGCTATGATGGACATGAAAATAAGTGTCAAGCAGTCCGACAAGACAATAAGAGTGAAACGCGTGTTCGCGCACACCCACGCTCGCATACAGTTCGGCATACCGCGGGGAAGATACAGAGGAAAATAAAAACGAAATCCTCTTAGCCGCGGCGTACTGGAGAGAGCTAGACGGGAGGCATTCCAGGAGGGAGAGCAGGAAATAACATCATACATTTTGCACGTAGCAGACGGTTCCAAACAATCTACTCCGCTTTGGAGCTGAATAAACCCAAGAAAGTTTTAGTTGCCTCTCCGGCGAGTCGAGTTTCAATCATATTTGGATCGTTGGGCAGAATAGTGACGTGAATAAAAAAAAGAGAGAGAGGGGGAGGAGAATAGCAATACACAATTCCAGCGTCCAACAGTTTTTTCACGTAATTACATTGAAGTGAAAACTTTATATTATAATTTTTGCGCAGCGGCTTTAGTATTCATTCATTTAATGTGCCACACTGTATGTATTTTTTGACAAAAATTTTTTAGATATATATATATAATCCCCGACTGTGTACATTTCTCCGCAGGCATAACAACCATTATTTGCGTAAAACTAATAAAATATAAAATCCTCGCATCTCGATGGAGGCGAGAGAAAGAGCTCGTAATGGAGTCCGGGGGAAAAGAGAAAGGAAATAACTTCATACATTTTACGTACAAAGCAAATATTCGAAACAATGCAAGTCGCTAATTTTGCATTTTCATGGCCAAATCAAGCTATGTTTTTGTACTGGTTATTTCCAATTTTTTCACGTCAATTTCATACGTTTGCGCGACTATGTGGTGAAATAACCATGAAAAGGTTTGTTACTGGCTAAAACTGACTACACGTTACAATTGAACGTTTATTTAGCGCACTTGCACAATAAAGACGAAAGTTTTTTTTTGGAAAAAGTAAGTCTGTTGTCCTTATTTCTCCGTTCCTATGCACATTCAGCGTGAACGGGAATCAATTAACGTACCCCCGAGAGTTCTTCTTTTGATATTCGAAAGCCGATTCAATCTTGTCGGCTTCACGATATGTTAATCAATTTCAGTGGCGCTAAAAATTGTGTCATTCAAATCGCCATTGTACCGAAAATTCGGTGGACTTCGATAAAGGGGTTTTGAACGGACGCGAAACAGCTGCTGCCGATACGCGGCTCTGCTATTTGATCGTAACTAAGACAATTTATCGCTTGCGTAATCAACAAAACAAACAATCGTGAAACAGTTTGTACGTTTATCGATCGCGATTCGCGGAAACAACGAGGCAATTTCCGTCAATTTCGTAAATTCCACCGAGATATTTTCCAGAACAGCCGGTCATTAAATTTGGTAGAAGGGAGAATGGAACGAGATATTTGTTTTGTTGGAATAAATAAAATCTGTGGAGCAGATTGGGCGAATCAGAATATGACGAAACGGGGGGGGGGGGGGGGACGGGACGGAAACCGAGAAACACAAATAAAACGTTCGCACCTCCCCGTGCGAATTATTCGCGTAATACGAGCTGTTTCCTCGCTCGTGCTTTAGCGTAACCTCTTTTTGAAGATTACGCGTTCTATAATTCACAGCATGAAATCATGCTACTGCTATGAAAGAAATGGTGCCACTCGGACGTTAATAAGGTTAACGCGTGTACGCCGGAAGCAATTAGGTCGTAACATTATATGTGTAAGAAGTGATGAAAGAAGCTGATCTCACGCCCGACTAATCCAATTAACAAGTTGCACCAATACTCATTTTACTCCGACACAGTGACCTCGCGTTCAACGACAGAAGTACGTGCCGATTTATTATTCGTGTAAAACGACACGCAATTTACCATCATTTTTTCATCATATACAGGGTGTAAACAAATTCGCGCCCACTATTCGTACAGTGATATTATTTCTCTTGAAAAACCGAGTCGAAAAGTCCCGAACCAGTTTTTCGAATTACGCTTTATAAAGTAGTTATTATTAATTAAAAATTAGCCAATCGGCATCACTTTTTAAACACGGACGTACGTTCGCGAGCCGCGCATCTATACTAGTGTGCGTGAGGTGAGCCGCGCGCCTTAGTAGTGTCCGTCGTTCGTTCGTTTGAAAAGCGACGCTGATTGACTAATCTTTATTTAATAATAACTATTTTATGAAGCACGAGTCGGAACAAACGGCTCGGAACTTTTCGACTCAGCGTTTCATGAGAAATATTATTGTGTAAATAGTGGGCACGAATTAGTTTACACCCTGTATATTATGCAAAACATTATTATGTTACGCGAAAGAAATAATGCGCGAGCCTCGCCGTTTCGAGCAACCTCGCAGTGTGTCAATCTTAATTTATCGGGAACATCCGCCGTCATATTATGGATACATATATATACAAAAATAACGAATATTTAAAATAATCCCTGTCTCAAAACGAACATAGTTGATCCATCATGCTTATACCAGCGCATTTGCTCATATCAGCCAATGCAAAGGAATTTTTTCTCCTCCCTTTTTTTTGTGCAAACGACATATCGCAGTCGACCCAGATACGCGACGATGAAAAAAGTCAGACATACAACTCGATGGCGCGAATACCGACAGATTTGATAGATGCGAAAATGTCGCTGCGGTCGGAACGGCGTTAACGTTTCCATCAAAAAAAGCTTTCCGCTGGCGCAGCAACTCGGTGCATCACCGGAATTATTTCGGAATTACGACAACAACATTTATTCGCTGACGCCAAAGAGATTTTCCCTACGTCGGGTATTTTTCATCTCGCACACGCGCGCGCAACTTCAAATTTCCCGCTCTCTATTTCATTACTGCAGAAATTATTTGTCAATCGTGTCGCACAGGGTATATATCTTGGTTTATTATTAGGATTATTCGACTTCGTTATTTCCGATCGACCTGATCGGCGTGATTTAAATTGCCAGGACCAAAGCCAGGTACTCCCCGGAACCTCACGGTGACGGAAATCAGCAACGGTTTCCTGATAACCTGGCAACCTCCTGTGGAAAAAGCCCATCTTATCCAATACTATACTATCAAGTACAAGACGGACGGACCTTGGAAAACGCTCAACAAGGGCCAAATACGACCCGAGGAGACCAGTTATTTAGGTGAGACACTATTGCCTTCTTCTTTCTCTCTGTCTCTCTCTCTCTCTCTCTCTCTCTCTCTGTCTGCTCTCTTGTGGATCGGAGCGATTATTATGCATAAAGTTTCTTACGAGCATCGGACAGGCGTTCAGCACCGAGTACGAGTAATTCCAAAACACTCATGAACCAATATTACTTATCGAACCGACTTTCGAGAGTACGGCTTTCATGCAATTTCCCGTTTAACGCGAACGCCTACAGTGAAGAACCTGGTCGGTGGTAGGACCTACTATTTCCAAGTGTTCGCCAACTCGGCCACGAATTACGGCGCGAGCGACCAGGTGAAGTTTCCCGTGCCGGCTCGTGTTAAGCACAAAGCGATCACCGCGGGCGTCGTAGGCGGCATCCTCTTCTTCCTTGTCGCCATCATCCTCAGCATATGCGCGGTGAAGATATGCAATAAACGGAAGAGACGAAAACAGGAGAAAGGTATGAACGCCCCGTGGCGTTATCGACGTATCGTACACCGTTTTGCCCGCAATTCGCCTGGACCTGTGCTCCTGGTTGTGTCGTCTCTGGGATGACTCTCGCAAAAGAGACAGCGTTCTCTCAGAGGAGTCTCACGAAACTAACGCCATATGGAGATTTATTTCACGAAGCTACAATTAAATTTCGTTAAAATTTAAATATATATATAATTTGGATATCATTTTAATCTACTAGCTGCTAATTAACTGCTTTACTCCGCACGCGTTACGTCCTTTCGGAACGGAGCATCTTGGGTGAAGTAAGTTAGTTTTTGCAAATATTGTGCGTTATTTCTCTTACTTGGTCCGTCCTGGGCCCGCTTATTTCTTTAACTTTTACCGAAGACTCGTGTCGATTGCGGTAGCAATTTGTATTCAGTGCCCAGGACTGGCCAAAGAGACGGCTACGATTTGGCAACGCAGGCGCCGGGCATGCACCTGTGAACTTGAACATTCATAGTTAACATAATTATGTAACATTGTAGAACTGCTTTCAGCGTATAATATGGTGGCCTGCCGGGTCACCGACGCCAGGAACGGCGCAGGGCAAGGGCCCCAGGGAACAGTGCCTTTGAAAAAGTGAGTGTCTACCATCCGAAACACTATTATCCCCTCAGGCCCTAAAGAATCTTAATTCATAATACTTTGGAGCATTCTTGAAGGCTCTGATCATATATGACAAATAGACCGAGAAGGTCGCAGCTGCACTAGAAATCTGTTTTATCTACTAGTCAAAGTCTGAGATTCGCAAAAATATAAAAAAAATTCAATTATTCAGTCATTGCAATGAGTATCTTCCATGTACAATCCAATATGCAATCAATAACTTTCCGACAAACAAGAAGTCTTCGTAGATGAATTCTGGCGCAAGATTGGCAAAGCGAGCAATTAAAGTGCTTCAAGCGTTGACTCATCAGAAGCCGATGACGAGACCTCTGAACGCTTGATTAAAATACAATAAATCGCACAGTCATGAATGATCGACAATTTTGTACCGTCACAAAGTGCAGATGCGACTTCGAAGAAACATATATCATTTAGGTTTAGCCAGAACTAGGGATTAAGTCCATGCCACCCCCTCTTAACAAGCAATAGGCGATCGAAGCACCTCAAGCATTTACGAAACCTCTCACGAATAATCTTCTAGCCAACAAATATTCGAACATTCACCTCTGATATTATATATATATACAACTAGGCATATATATATATATATACATCTCTATAGTTTTATTGCTCCGGATGTGTCAAAATTCATATATGGTATATATACTTCGTATCGCTCCTACGCCAACGACTCTCTCTCTTTGCAGCTGTAGCTTTAATGATGATCCCTCTTTCGCCATGTCACTTCTCAAATTAATAACACCGCTCGATTATTTTACGAGCTAATCGGAAGTAACGATGACATGCCGTTGTCGTACCAGCGACACGTTTACAAAGACATATACGACCGCAAGACTTAGCGAGACGTACGGAGAGAAATCCATTCTCTCTCCTGCCGTCAGCTCAATCCACTTTGACAAAGGACAAGCGCTATCCCCCTGAAACGGGAGGATTAAGGAAACGAGGAACGACAGAACCTCTTTTGATCTACTTGCGCCATACATAACACTACGAGTTTCTAGATATATATATGTATATATATGTATATATATCTAGAATCTATACATATATATCTCTCGTAGCAATTAAACCGGCAGACTAAACCGCAGCAGCAGAGGTATTTTGGACGAGGTTGGAGAAACGATCTTTCGATAATCGATAAGTAATTTACGCAAACACTCCCACGCGCAACACCACGTGCGTGCGTGCGTGCGTGCACGCTAGGCATGAACGAAAGAATCGAGTTCATTACGTGCGATCTGGCGTTCCGAATCGAATCGGATCTCGTGGTTCGAATCAAATAGAACGCGGCGAATCGCTTGCGGCGGATAATTGCACGGGCGATAACCAATTTGTTTCCCGCATCGAAACTCGTTTCTTTCGAGCGACGCGGGAATACGCGAAGAGGAACGAGAGTTGCGTGCAAGAAACGGCACCGATTTGGGAGAGCAGCGGTCTCCGTTACATTCATTCAGTTTGAAAAGCAAGACAAGCTCGTAGAGAAGTACCTGACGCAACTGCAATTCTTTTATTAAATTAATCAACAGAGAGATTTTCGCTTTTTTTTTTACGCAATCGCAACGTAATTTGATTCTACCGAGAAACGGACGGCTCGATTTGGACCGTCGTGATCGCGATTCGCGCGATCTGGAACAACATGAACACACCGAGAAAGGAAGCTACCGATCGGAAAACGAAAACAAGACGTGCAGACGTGCAAAATCGTCGCACGTCGCATTTTTGACGCACCCCCGTGATTCACCCGGGGTGAAAAAGAAAAAAAAGACGAGCCACGGCGTAGCGCGTGGGGCGTTCGACTTTACTGGTGACTTCACGCCAAGCGGACTGCACGTGTAGTAGCGGGTAACACAGTTGTGACTCTGTTATGATTTCCATCGCGGCATCCAAAAGTCCACAATACGACTGCAGTGATGCCTATTCTGGATCGTAGCTCGCCACTCGATTTCGCGTCGATTTCTATGCCGCCATTTTACTGTACGTGCGCGCATTCCGTCATTCGCTCCCGGTCTTCGACCCCGAAGAGCTCGCGCGACGACTTTTGAGACAATTCATTCGACCCAGCCATATTCACCGTCATCGTCTCTTATCAGCCGCACCGTTGCCCTTGCTTGATTCTCTCGAGTGCAATTATTATTCGGTACTGCGTTTCTGTACCGTATCTCAAAATGCTTCTCGCGTGTCTTATCGTGAGGGTGCCAACAGAGATTTCCAGTCTTCTTTATCCCGTTCCCTCGTGAATTGTCCTTACACGCACAGGCAACATGTCACGCTCACGCCTCCACAATAATCGAACCTCGAACCATCAATCGAACAGAGACCGAGTGCGATCGCATGACATCTAATACAGATTTTCTCGCAGGTTCGAAGACGATTGCGAAGCCGTTCCGAATTGAACCGCATACATGTGTAATTATGAGTGAAAACTAATTTCGCAGCCGTGGCGCTGCATTCTCGACCTATTACATTCTACACCGTCTAATTTGCGGTCAAGCATGCGCTTTTGTAATTGATATGTACGATTATTGATCGTCGTCCTTAATTTCATTTCTTTCACTGCAATCAGCAGGCTAGCCCTCTCATATCGTTTAGTCGTAAATATATTTCAGTGTTGGGGATACTGCTGCCGTAATCTAGACTTAATACTGCCTTGCGTGTAACTGTTCTATTGTCTCCACGTTGTCTTCCCTAGAATAACCCTTCAGAGTTGTCTATTTCATGCCGCCGTCATGTGTCATCCGTCGTCACCCTCATGATAAGTTCGAAACGTTCGTCGCGCAAATTTCCACTGAGAGCGCGGTCGCGTTTGTCGAGAATTATACCGAGAGAGATCGATATTGCACGTTTACCTACACGTTGTATATCCAGAACGGGCTGGACGGTTCAGCCACTGCCAAGAGTCTTTTTCTCCGAGGCCCGCATTCGTGGTCACGTGCCTGGGCTGCATGCCGAGTAGTAGCAACGATTGCAATTCCCTAATGCTTTAACGATGTCAGGTACAAGACATTACACTAATTTCGCTGAGACAACGACAGTTTCGTTTGACCGCGAGAAACTTAACGAAGTTAGAGCGAGTTAAGGCTCGGTCTTAACGTGATTTTCTTCCGCACGTTATATAATAACCACGTGTTTCTTCTGACGAATGCAGTCGTTGCGCATCGTTGGCCAGGCAGCTCGAAGTAACGACTACGAATACAGGCCTGAAATGAAATCTCGGTGCTAAGCACCGTCACGATCAGAGCAAGGATCAGAAGAGAGCCGACGCAAGCGAGCCAGAGAATAGCGTCAAGGGTCGAGAGACTTTGGAGAGGAAGGGCGCAGGGTGCTACTTCGCGAAAGGCGGGAAAGAAAGGAATGGAAAAGAAAAGCGCCACGGCAGATAGTAGAGCCAATCGATCGTAGTCCACGAAGGGATTTTTCCCCCCGCTGCCTTTCTCTCTGTCTCTAATACCTGTCTTTTATTTCTTTCATCCTGCGTCTCCGACCCTAAGCCAATTCTCGTGCAAAACGGTAATCGTGAGAAGACCGACAAGCAAGTCAAGATTGCGACAAAAAGAGAAAAGAAAGAAAAAGGAAAAAAAAACAAACGAAAGACAAAGACGATAAGAAATCGTGGGCGTCTCTTGTCCTCCTCTCTCTCTGTGTTTTCTGTAGGTCGACAAATCTAAACGCGTGCGGCGAGTCAGTCTCGACGCTGACCCGTTGCAGCCCGTTGAATCCGCAACTACCACCACCACCACAACCTCTTCATCAATCACCACTTCCTACGCAAGTAACCACCCCCGCCACTGCCACCTCGGAGCCGGTCCACGAGCAGGCCCCCCCGAACCGTGATCGTGACCATCACGCACTCCACCTCGATAATCGAGATTACGAGAGCGTGTTTATCATAGAGAGGCGGAACAGTAAGCCTAACCTCCGCTAGCCACACAGAAAAAAACCAAGTACTACCACTACTACTACTATTACTACTACTGCTACTACTACCACTACCTATTACTGCTACTACTACCGCTACTACCGCCTACTATTACCACCACTACTACGTACCCGTGACCACGGTTGCTCCCGAGAACCATGAAAATAAGCTCCCGCCGACGGTATACGTATATGTGTTTGTGTGTGTATAAACACGTTGTACCGAGCGGTCCGTCGATCGATCGAACGAACTGTCAGATCGAATTCATTTCTCCGTCAGTCGTCGATCCTCCTCGGTCGATCGAGCGAGCGAAACGCCAATTACCGGTGGGGACACATGCCCGTTACTACTACTATTACTAGTAACTACCGCTACTACTACCACTACTGCTACTACTACTACCTACTACTATGCGAGACTACAGCTCTGCAATGTTACCTGCTAGGACCTACTAATCTACTACCACCTACTACTATCTACTACTACTACTTAGGATGATTGTCATGACTGTAGATGAGATCTGCAATACAGGCAAAACAGCTAGGAGTTCACACTAGTAACATCCAGTCAGTACCCTAATACCTTCGTTCGGCGGCCTTAGGGAGTACATAGATAAGGGAGATCGAGGCAAGGCGGTAGAGCTCTTTCTTTCGTTTTATTATATTCTTTTCAACTCTTCTCTGCCGACCTGTGAAGACATTTTTGCGATTCTCTCCGCTCTGTTCTGCATTACATCCAACTGTCATCAGCATATCGATCTACGTTGCTTCTTTTATGTACTATCTCGAACCGGGAGTAACCCCCACAGCGCGGTGTCCGCCTCTCTTTCAGTCTATCATCACGCTTTATTCATTTCATTGCTCCTTTATTGCGTGTACGTATTTCTTCGTTCCACACAGGATTCATTGTCACGCGCGCTTATCAGAGAACTATAAATTGTTACTACCTACTACTCTGACTCCATCTATTTCTCGCTCATTCTTCACATTATTGCTTCTCTGTGAAAGTCACCGTTATGATACTTATTTCCTCTTTACGAAATTACCAAGTGTTCAACTCATTAACCTTGTACTAATGTTTAATTTCTTTTTTCATCATTAGCTAGCTAATTTACGCCGAACGCAATATGTTCGAGAGGTGCAATATCTATTTGACCAGTCCTCTCTTTCCCGAAAATAATTTTTATGTGAGAGACTGCAAGCCATTTCAAATAGTTTTCAACATCTTTGAAATGGAAGACGTTTATATTTTATTGCTTTCAAACCTTGGCTTTCAGATAGATTGCACCTATTGAATAATTCAGAAACTTTATTGCGTTCTCCTTCCGTGATTTTTAAAACTTCTTTACCTCATATTATATGCTTAACATCTTTTTATCGCTACTGTGTTCTTTGTCGCGTCTATACTCGCTATTGTTGCAATTCTTCATGTTCAATTTTTTATTTATAGTTCTACTAACGTCAAACTACCATTTGTGTATTTCTTTTGCTTTTACAGCGCTCAACATGATTGCAATACTTTTCAAAGTATGTCACAAATTTCTCAGTTTTTTTCTAAATATCTTCACATATTTACACATTTTAATTGTTACTACCTTCCAGATTATTATTACAAATATGACACTAAGAGGTATATTGATCTTGTTAATGCGTTTATGCGCTATCACAAACCACTTGACTTTAAATCGCTTGACTTTAAAACTTTCACCATGACGACGCTTTCACTTATCACTTATCTATTTAATTAATTGCTAATCGACAGATAATTTTGCGGTGACTCGATGTGTTACGCATTTCAGAAAATATTACTCCAATTCACTTATCTGCGTTGCCTCTTCCGAAATTATTTCACGCAGAGATTGTTTCGTACTACACTAAAAAAACCATCGAGTTTCCTCATGAAATAGTTACTTTTCTTAACTTTCATACACCGCGTAATGAACATTTCTCTTCCTTAGATGCATTCTTTTTAGCATCTATTAAAACTTCACAAACAGCTAGCAGGAAGTTACTGGTACATATCTTCACAATTTGCCGCGTAAATATACGCATATAAATTTATTTTGTAATAAAACTAGTCATCAATAATTGACCTGTTTACAAAGATAATCCAGTAGCTTGTTGCGTATTTCCAGACCATTTACCCAAACCCGGTTTGGTGCATGTTGTTTAATGATCGCATAACGTTTACGATATCTTTCTAAGAGACATGCCATATTAATGCCATCTAAAGAATTTCGAAGCACATCTCACCAATGCCGGGCTTACCATACCGCTTCACATTACTAATCACATATTAGCTCGTCATATCACGGTTACTAGTCCACATTAGTCTTACAAGGTGCCACTTCTCGCAATATGATCCAATACGATTCTCTCTGCCCGTACGTACACAGATCGCATGCGACACGAGTATCGCCCCATATTTCGTCATAGATGCGAAAAGCAATATTCGTGTAACCGATAATAGCCGGCCGACAAATTGGTCGTTATATCGAAGAAACGTTTGTCAGAGAAATCGAATAAAACTTCGATTTGGGCGACACCAAGTTTCAGGCGGCGTACATATGGCACGTCGGGCTGCAACGATTATTGCGGCGCGCACGGCCACGGCGGAGCTCTAATTCAAGCTTCTTGTGTTATTTGATTGTTTTCAGTTTGTCGATTCTAGACGAGCAATAAACAGACAGACACGTTCATGCTTACACGCGAACACGCGGCAATAAGCAAGGCGGAGATAGGTAAGCCGCGCTCGTTGCGGCCGCGCGAAAACTTGTATCCACGTATACTCATACTCATACCCGTTGTCGTATCCACCTGTTAATCGTTCACGACGCCACGTCGCATTATCCCGCTCAGCCCGTTAAAATCGACGTACACACTCAAACTAACCCCAACCATCCTCAAATCCGATCTGCAATTAATTCCAACGACAGCCTGTACTTTTATCATTTCCTCGACCGTTTCACAATCTTCGTTTCCACTTCTTTCTTCACAGAATCGAGTGTTTCCAGGAGAACGAAAATTGTATAATACATATAATGTATAAAAATTCAATCGGATTACATAATCGAACCTTACGACACACTGATTATCTTATCAAAACGCAGATGTGACAGTTTGTACGTCGCGTCGTCATTATTTGCTGATTTCCTTACTACGAAACACTCGACCAATTTACATACTTGTGCCTCATTGTTCTACACGTTCTACACGTTTCGCTGTGTCTTTATTATCTCTTGTGATACTTTTACTAAACGAGGAGAACAGCGTTACTGTTCAAGACGCCTTTCTACTTTCGCGTTAAATCCAATATCAATCGAGCCGAATCGACGTACGACGGTGAAACGCGTCTCCACCGACACCCATAAGACACTGTTTATCTATTTGCTCCCTAACACCACCGCCTAGAAGTAACGTTCGATTATTTAGCGTTATATTTCTTATCATTATCGCCACGACATATTGTTTTTTGTGAATGTAATCGTTGTGTTACAACATTCTCTCTCCCCCATCTTTCCTTGCTGCCGGACCCGAAGGAGGAGAAAAGGTGACGAGTTTCTCGGAGCACCTAAATCCACAATTGCTATTCACTGATCAAAGTCAAAAGAAAGTGCAAAAGATTCGCGCAAAAAGACAATATATATATCTATGAGAATGGAACAAAATTTTGCTAGTGAAAAAGAAAGAAGAAAATATATATAAGATAAATATAAGATTCGTTTCGTTGAAAATTAAAGAAAGGAAAAAGATCCACTCACTGCCGAAGCCTACCCATCCGCAACCCACGTCACGCCCGACCACTCGTGCACCGGAATGTGCATGCGCATGCCCTCCCTGCCTGCATCCGTTATTCATTATTATACGTACGAATAATTGATTATTGATAATTATCTTGCCACATTTAACTTGAACATTGGCATTTACGTTAAGTTTGTTCTAGTACTTTGTTTAACTTTCGTTCGTTAACGTTGCCGTGTCTTTTGCCGTTAGTGTTGCACGTATTCGCCGTATTCGAGCGGCCGATGGATCACGTCGGAGGAAGAAGCGGAATTTTTAGAAGCGTTTGTTCAGTAAACAACTTCGTCTAACTTAAGACGTTTCTACGGAAGCGACACAAGTAAACTGGACAGGTGCCGAAATTTTCTCCCAAATATCAATTCGAAAGACACAAAAAGAAAGAAGAGAACTTATACTAAAAATTATACTAAAAAGACAACTTTTAATAACGTACACATCCAACAACCATCAACGTACGCCTTTTTGTCTTTACGTTATCAAATGCACGCTCAAATTCGTGGTATAATGAGAACTGTGTATTAATTTGGGAAAAATTTTGGTACTATTCATGACGGATGGTGGGTCCCGCGTGGACATAACGCCAAGATCCTCCTCCGACGATCTCGATCGAGCCGTGTCTGTCAATCGCCACAACTGCGATCGTTCTAACGCTCCTTCTGTCCTATAGACCTAGAAAAAGCCGAGTACCAGGTTTAAGCCTCCTGAAGGAGATCCTGAGCCCGGACACCCCGGACTCGTGCCGCTGTCGTCCGCTGGGCAAGATCTCCCGAGCGGCTGACGGCCGCTTCGTCGTGGCGGACTCGGTTCTCAGCTCGGCCAACAACAGCATCCTGGACGTCTCCAGCAGCGACGACGGTGGTTTCCTACCGAAGCAGCGGCTCAAATCCTCGTGGCGACGCCCACTGGTTGGTACTAGCCAGCTCAGCCTAAGATCCGACGGCAGCGGCGTGTCCATAGGTCCCCTGCCATCGAGCCATCATCACCACGGCATCGTGAACCCTTTGGCGAGGATACAGCCCGTGAACGTCTGCACGATTACGTCGCCCAGATTCCTGGCTAGTTCGCCGAGCGGGGCTCAGGTCCCCTGGACACCTTTGTACTTCAGCGATCTCAGCTCCGTCAAGCAACCATCCTCCGGCGAACGTTCCTTCCCGACGCCACCCGGCTACCTCCAACTTCGCAGCGTCCACCAGCGATACAGCCAGGAGTTACCGTCTCTCAAGGCGATCCATGCCGAGTCGAGACGATTCGTGCCGGTTCAGCCATTGGCGACGTCTTCGCCACCGCAACCGGCCGGACGACCGAGGGCGAGATTGCCGCCGAGACACGCCAGGCACGCCAGATCGGCACCGGAGCTCGCTGCCTCGCCTGACCTGGAGACATCGCCTGAGAGCAGATCGAGCAGTTCGGGTTTCGGCAGCAAGAATACCTCGCAGCAAAACCAGAGTTCGAGAAGCGGTAGCACAGTCGCTGAATGGAGGCCGCCGCCTTACAAACCGCCCCCGCCGCCATTGGTAGTGGGCCGCTGGCTTGAGCTTCAGGATCCGGTCAAGGTGGGGCACACGCATATACAGAACGCCGTGGACGCCGGCAGCGTCGACGGCCACTACGAGTTCGATCCGGTGTCGTGCACGCCGACACCCACGTCGGCCTCGACGCCTACGCGGGAGGAGAGACCACCGATGCATCAGATCCACGCAATCCACGTTCCCCACATCCATCAAGTGCACACGGTACATCAGCAAGCGCCGAGGTACAGCAGAGAGAACATAGAGGCCCGAGTACAAGCGATGAAAGCGGAATTCCATCAGTTTCGACAGAGACAGGCGAGAAGACGGCAGAGCGAGCATCTGGAGAGCGCATGTTGAAAATGGAACAAGTTGAACATCTCACCGATCGATTCAATTTCATTAGGGCCGCCGCACCGCGAGTCTAACGATCGAGTTGAAATCGATTGGGATGGTTGCAGAGTTAGATACATAATGTGCGAGACAAAAGTAATTATTAAAGGAGGAGCTAGGAGAAGGAAGCTAGACGTCGCTCGCGATTAGATTTTGGTACTGGCTTTTGACTACCATAGAAGATCGCGCGTTTTTCAACACGGCGACGATAACGTGATCATCACCGAAGACCAACCACCGCAGCACAACGAGGATCATCATCACACGTGATTCCGCATTTAGAGGAGTTTAAGTCAATTCTAGTAGCTGGACATCCATCTACAAAAGAAGGCTGTTATAAGCATCAGCTCAGGATACATAAGTTTCGCACGACCACGAGACAGGAGCGACGTAGTAGAACCGTACGTTAAGACGATAATCTTTCGGAGTTTCGCCCGTTTTACCGATTAAGAGGACCGTCGAGTATCCTACGGGGGAAACAATCTCGATATCATTTACTCGGGGGAGGGGGGAGGGGGGGCTAAATCCAGCGACGTCGATCGCGCTGGGACGATAATAGAAACGAAGTGCGTAAACGAAAATGTTCGAATCCGATTATTATTGGTCATATCCCGCGTACACCAACCACGCCTATGTCCGGTTTAGAGGACCGTGATTTTTAACGATACTATAATATAATAATGTAGAGGAACATACGGAAGATTCACGGGGGACAAACAGGGGGAGGATGCTTTTTTTATAAAGAAAAAAAAACTCAGTGGAACTGTCCTTAGAGCTAGGAAGTGCGCAGAAGATAGAGAGGGAGAGAGAGAGAAACACTCCCGATTGGCTCAAGGGGATGTTGAACGTAGCAGAATTCTCCCGTTATTATCGCGATCGGGACGAGAGATGACGAGGAGGGAAGACGGGAGAGCAAAAGAAAGGGGATAGTTACGTCGGCATGATACTCCAAAGAAACTGTACCACTGTACATGCTCCGCGTATACCTTTTAAATATAAGATTAAATTTAATCGTACGCTGTAAGTAATAATTAAAAACGAAAGAAAAAACAAAAAAGTAAGATAATCGAAGAATTACCACACTCACATGTAAACACACACACACACACACACGTCAGACACATACACACGTACAGACACACACAAAGTAATTATATCGATGAGCAATGGACTCGAAACGTGATATTAGGCCGAAGTTTGCCTCGAGATTGCTTAAGGACTCACCCGTACTGCACTGCCTGTTTAGGGTTTCGCTAGCGACCCAACATATTATCGGCACAATAATTTTTCTTAAGCAACGTAAAAACGAGAATAAGAATAACGTTCTTCGAATCTACGCGTGCTCGGCCAGTATAGCACTCGGCGATTGTGTGCACGCGTTCACCACGCGTGTCACCCACGTTGGCCATCGCCCCTATCGACACTCCCGGGAGTTTACCGGTCGTCTTTCTCGAATTAGAATTAGCGAGCACGCGTATCGACGACAGGCGAGGTCGATCGGACTCTTCAAAAATAAAATATGAAAAAGGGGAATATATTGAAAATTATTAGGGAAAAAATATCTTTCAACTGCCAATGAAAAGGGGGTCCTCGGTGCGTTCGATTCATTTCGTACGAGAGCGTTGACGTTGATTAAATAAGTAAACCAGAGGCATTTAAGTGGAGAAAGACGACCGACACGCGGCCGTCATCGCCGGAAGGCAGGTGCACGCGCGGCACACACGCGCCAATCAAGCCGAAGTTCGCGTGTAATTAGAGAGACGAAGGAGTTTTAAAACACGGAAGCGCGTACACATCATACATACATACAAAAATACATACGTACGCATATACACACACACACACACACGCCAGATACAATTGAATACGAACACTCACAAATGACAGACACGCACATTAATACGAGAGGAGAGGCGTTCTTCGAGACCCACCTAATTCTCACCAAACGCATCGGATCATCTTGAATCACGGTGAGATCGGGGACTGGCGATCACCGATCGCGGGGGGGAGGCTCCTCGGGCGAATCTACGGGCTAATCAGTGTCGAGTCGCCGCGCGACCTAACGCGAGAACGTGTACCCCGTTCGAGGACGCGTGTCCCCCTTGGCGAGGGGGGGGCAGACCGGCGGCGCGCTCGTTCCTCTCTCTACCCTTTTTTTCTAATCTCCTCTACACGTACGACCGTGAAGACACCCCCCCGCGCGGGATCGGGCCGGCCCGCGCGACTCCCGGCGTTTTACTTTCTTTATAGTACAAACACTTATTTATACATACGTACGTATTATACATATTTATTATAAATATTAGCAAGGGCCCTACTACTCACGATTCAACTATACTTCGACGAACCGTAACGGCGAGGGGACGAAGAAGAAGATGAGTAAGAAGGAGCGGCGTGGGCGTCACCGAAGCGCCCTGTACAATTTCGTTAAAATGTGCATGTGTGCGTGTGCGTACGAGGCCGGACCAGGTGAACGGGTGCAAATGAACGCGAATGAATGGCTCGTTTCAATCAGATCGCGAACGTTGATGTTCGCGATACCGTTGGCATTCGTCGAGGTTGTTCATTCACGTTTGATTACACACAGAAGAAAAAAATCTATTTAAGTTAAGTAAGTAAGATACGTTGAAATCACGTTTCTTTAAATCTGCTGAATTTTTATTTACCTGTACTGAAACATTTGCTAGATTTGAAGAAGTAGATATGAATTCTCTTGGAGATTACAGTTCTTAACCAAATAAAATTTTGGCCAAGGTAAAGAAATCTTTCCTTTGAAATTAAATGAAAGTCCCAGTGAGGTCAAAATTCCAGGAAAATGTGCTTGATTTCAAGGAAACTTTTTCTGGGTGCACGCTCGGCTTGAATCCGGCCTGGCGTGCGAGGAAAGATGAACGTGTGAGAGTAATGTCAACGAGTGAATGGAGCGCGAACGAAGACAGATTAAAGCTAGATCCAGATCGAGCAAACGAGCGCGACCGAACGCGAGTGAACTTGTTCGTTCTTTCGCGTTTGTACGCGTGCTCGCTTGCCCGGCGTGCTTCCGGCTTTAACACGTGTGCAAATGCGGTTGTTAAGACAAAAACAGAGAACATAATGTAACATACACGATCACGCAGACAACAAAAGAATATAAAAAAAAAAGAAATACGATAAAAGTTAAGAAATAACGGAGGTGACACGAAAGAGTACCAATATTCTAAAGTAATTCTAATGGTTGAATTAATAATTTGATAATTAATTGATATTGTAAATCGTAAACGACGTAGCGTGTAGCGTATTAATCAACGAGAGCGACGAAAACGCGGCGAGTATTCATTAATTATTATATCCGCGCGGGAGTATTACGACGTGAGACATACACGTGGAAGGACGGGGGAGGAGGTGCTGAGAGACTCGCGCCTGTAGAATGGTACCAATTTTTATCGTCAATCGCGTAAAATCGTTAATATGTTACTAGCGAATAAACGTATCAGACGCGAGATGTAATTGTAATTGTTGGGGATGTAAAGAGAATAGATCTCTCCGAGTCGAGTCGACGTTCGCCGCAAGACGTTGGGGGAGACGTTTTTTTGATAACGCGACGATAATACACGCTTCGTAATCACACATTATACACGAGAGACACCCTCTTCCCCCTTCTGGATGGATACGGCAACAGGAAGAATCATGTACGCGAGAGAAGGTGATCCAAACAATTGACTTGTAGATGTATAAGTAACGTGTAGATATATCATAGTTAGATACACACACAACGATCTCAAGAGGTCATGCAGTGTGAACGATCGCGATAATGTACGAGAATGAGAGGGACAGAGAGAAAGAGAGAGAAAGTACAAGAGAGAATGTAAGAAAGCGTGAGAGAGCAAAGAGCGAGGAGAGAAGTGCGAAATAGATAAAAATAGTAAGTAACCAAAAGAGAAAATCTCGAACGATCCTTGGCGTTATCGTACGAGTCTGTCGCGCAGCGAGAGAGGCTCGTGCGATAAAACGGAATATGTTCGCAATGTATTCGAAACGAGGGAGCTGTAGGGACATCGTGAGATTGTGAGAGAAAGCACTGCATGGTTGTGAGAGAAAGATAAAAGAAGAAAGGGAGTGGAAGAAAGGGAGACAAGAAAAATAAATGAGAAATGGCGATTTCGCTCGGCATATTTATGGATAATATGGTTGAATCGTGAATCTGTTTGTAAAAAAAAAAACTTTATCACTGATCACACGACGTGTTTCGTTCGTCTTGAGTTCCTCTTTCGCGACTCGTGTGGATGCTTTACGTTTGTCATCGTCATCGCGCACCCTTTACGTTCGCGACACTCGTCGTTGTATCTTCTCCGTACACGCGTGTAACTCGTGCGAGGCCGCGAGCGACTGCCGTGATTCGTGGATTAATTAATTAATTAATTAATTAATTAAGCGTTTCATTTGTTATGTGTACCTGAAAGCCAGCCGCGATTTCGGCTCATTGCCCATAATCGCTTGAGCGAAATTCGTGAGCCCTCGAAGCAGGACGTTCGCGATTTTGGAGAGTCGGTGGTTTTTGGCATCGCGGATCACACGTGCAACTTTATTCGCCACGCGACTGGAGACGTACGCTTATTTCGCTTTAGTAATGAGTTCATGTACAAACTGTAGATAGTCATAAA